TCCTCACAAAACATKCCATTGCAATATTATAAATTATAATATATTAAATGTTAACCTGTATTTGTGTTGATTGATTGCTGAACATAATATTACCGTTCGTGAGTGGCTAATTGAGTTATGTCCATGTCTTCAATGATGGTTGCAAAACCTCACATCATCATAGGATGAAATATACGATCATCATATATAGTAAACATACCATCATCGAAGCTTCTGCGTGTACCCATATTCATGAATCATGAATGTATTAGTATATTATAGTATGTGCCACGGCTATAGATCGTGACTATAGGGTTCGTTCGCATATATATACTCTATACGTATATAGGTACCTACCTACATAGCCGATGTCAATTATATTATATAACAGTTTTCTCATGCCCTAATGATGACCCACAAAATGAGAAAAAAATTGCTCATCGAGTGAAATTGAAACTTGTTAACCGCAGATCAGCTCGCATTAGTTGTCGTCATCGCACAGACTGGAATCAAACTTCATTAATACTTACTGCGAGTTCAATGAGACGACCATCGGGCAACAAAGGGTTTATATCAGGTGAACTTAACATATAGGAGGTACCTACAGTAAATATGTATAGGTAATATACACTCCTGGTGTGCATGTTTTTGATGTTATTTTTAACTACATATAACATGATTATGAAATATGATGCATTCGTGTCGTTTATAATATACGCATAGATCACACGAGCGTTTTTTTTATTTCCGTAGCAAATCACTGCCACAGCAGAGAAAGCACATTATATTGTTATCAAGATTAACAAAAACAAAACAAAAAACGTCATGCAGATGAAACGTCAGATGTTGTGTTTATATATATACCTACATAGATATAACGATGATACTATTTTCCCATCGGATACACGGGTGGAGTCTCTAAATCGCTCGTATCATAATATATTCGAATATATTTAATTCTAGAAAACGTTACCCGTTGTTTGATTAAGCATTGTCGGTGTGTTCTACAGTTTCAGAAGTAATTACATCGTTAGCCTCGATTTTTAGAGACTGCGAAATTAAAAAAAAAAAAAATCATCTTTAAACTTCATTCGTCATAGTTCTATTTGTTTTTTTTTTCTATACAACCATTTTTGGCAAGCGTATATTTACACCTGTCTGCCGAAGAATGGAACAATCATAATAAAATGTTCACATTGTCTGCAATTTTTGCGATACTTYAAATAGTTGTTAAATCCGCAATATATGTATATAATATTATATTATGTATAGCGACGTTTTGATTTTGTGGTCAAGTCTCGTTTACCACAGTGTTCTGTTTACAAGCCGTTATGGAATAACACGAGTTTTGTATGATGTGTATAATATTTTGTATAATATGTTATGCTCGTATATTGTAAAAATATATATAACTACTATAAAAATTCAATTTTATGGCCCGAAATCTCCTTTCAGAATAAAAATTGCATTACATAATTCTACATCATTGGCCATAGTTTAACTGTGTATTATTTTCCCGAATAAAATCTAAGAAAACGTGACTGAAAAAAAGATTCTCGAAAGATTATTATATGTGTGCAAGAACATAATATAGTTTCTATGTATAATCACGTGTAATTTTATTTATTTATTTATCTTTAAATTTTATTATTATTTTGATAACAATAGGAAGTTTATCTTTAAAAAAAATATGTTTTGAAACTAAACTGTTTTGAATATTTAATATTGGATATTAAATAGTATATTGTGTGGCAAGGGTGGATTTACTTTCCGGTACGAGCTATGTACACTATTTTTTGTTACGCCTCTATTACCTCTGAAATCGCATCTATTGATARTACGGTTAATCAATAATTAACTGTATTTATGTTTTTCGGGATCTATACTTTAATAGATTTACCCATACTATTTCATAAAACAGCACATCATTTGGTATTTAATAGGTATTATTTTAAATAAAATATATAACACATCAATCTTGGACAGTAACTTTTCCACATGTTTGGCGGAAAAATTCATATTCATTATTATATCGTTTATTGGACAAAACAAAAAATTATAATTTCAATGCTCAAATATTCGCATCGACAGTTAAACTTCGGCGAAAGCGTGAAGCTGTAAAAACAAAATAAATTTCAAATTATAWAGTTTTTTTTAAAATCCTTAAATGTACTTATACTTAACAACATAATTTATTGTGGGCGCTTAACTATATCGATTATAATTTTTTGAATTGTTTATCCTTATAATATTTGTACAACAGTCTTTTAATGTTCAATAATAATTTGCGGCCTAAACCCTAAACGAATTAATAATGTATAAAATATGAATAAATATTTTAATTATAAACTGGTTTAAATCATAATTTAATTAYTGTTATATTAATGATACTTGCCTACGTATTTTAATTTAGATTCAAAATGAGTGTAGGTAGTAGGTGTATGGACTACTCTCGGATGTGTGGATAATTAACGTTATATAATATAGATGACTACGTTTAGGGTGTTTGATGTAAACAAAAATGCGTCCCATTGTGTTTTTTCGGTTTTTTTGCATTATATCGTATAGACTGTACTCAGGATAGAACAATTGGATCCAAAATAATACTATGACTCAAACGACATTAAAAAAAAATTATCGAAAAACGCTACTAAAAAATATACATGTACGACACGCAGTGCTTAAAATTCAGCCAGCAGGTCACGTTTGGTGTAGTTCGTCATCCCGTAGTTATGAAYGAGTATCCCCGAGATTRGCGAGATTTATGTGCACCTGCATGCAAATAATCTGTTGAATAATTTTACCTAAATAAGTTACCTATATAATACGAAGTTCGTTTAAAACGTGATTTGACAGTATAATTTTTACGTGCTGGTTATATATTCGCATTTCGCGCGTCGTAGCACATATATTATATTATATTATATATATACGTATATATATATACGAATCACAAACGTGACGTGACAAGATGCGCAAATGCAGTGATGGAGATACGATTTTTCTCCCAGAGGGTAGAGGGTATATATTTTATATAKTTTGTTATTTGCAATTCATAAAATCATAAATAACTAAAGATATATAGTTACCCGTGCGTCCTTAAAGTTTCCGGCAGTATTGGTAGGTAATACTAGGTGAATAAATTAGAGACGTGATATAAACTGTTTAAAACTTTACTATTTGATTATATCAAGTGGCAACCATGAACTAAAATTAAAATATAATATCTCAATCAACAATATAAAAACTATACAGACTATTCGAGTGTATTTACCAACATCGTAATTCGTGTTAAAAAAAATCCCAACAATTTGAGTTTTGAKACCATATACCTACATATTATGCACGGTGGATATAACGGTGCAATTTGAGACGATACCTATACAATTCCCTAAAGTGATGTTAGAGAAAAACAACAAAAATGTAAACTCGAATTCTATCAATTATTTTAAATTTCTTTTTCGGACTTACTGGTACTAACCCCTATCTAAAGCTAGTTGCTTATTGTATGGTTTTATAGGTTTACAAACAATTATCGTGCGGAAAATTTTGACAATTTAACGACCAACCAATTATAATAATGATATGCCAACTTGTCTCTTCTCGGATAAGTTCTCAAACATCATAGATCTTATTACGTAAGAACACGTGGGTTACAGGTCTTAAAGTCACGGTATTAGCATAATATATATCTTCCGTAATGTTGCGTTTTGATTTACCATTTAATATACGATAAATCAGAAAATTTCAGGATAACGCAACTATTATTTGTATAACTTGGTGCTTTATAAGATTTTATGTTAAAACTTCGCAGTTGCAGTCTTATTATATAGGAAGGTAAATTATACAATATATTATTATGTAATACAATAGTAGGTAGATATATATGGGTGGCACGGGTATATTTCACTGTATTATATAATATGTCAAACCGCGACGCATATACAAAACTACAAAAGAACTGAGAAGGAGGAGGAGTTAAACACATATAGATTGATTCCAACTCCATAAGTAGGTACCTACCTATAGTTCTACAAATAATTGCGTGACAATATTAAATGTATGTAATTCACACCTCCACGGACTAATATAGTTTGTGATTTACAATTATTAAAATCGTAGGTATAAAATAAGAAAATACAAATTTGATGGGCGGGGGACTTGAACCGGAAGGAGTGATAAAGTGAACGCATAATATATGACCCCCTCACACTCATATTATATTATATTGTTCTAAGTTCTTAAGTCTTATACTCGGCACTTTGAGATACAGTTGTTGCATCATGCAGCTCAATCAACTTGATATTGAGTTTTAGTAAAGTTATTAATTTATAACTAATAATTAAGATAATTATTTCTATCAGTCGAAATAAAACATTCGTTTATTGAAATAAAACAAAAGTTCAAATGTAATGATACAATATATACTCATGTGMAGTTGAGGTTCTCGTGATTATAGAGTTAAGGGACATCTGCATAATACATAGTATTGTCTTACGAAATACCTCTTATAATTTATATCATAACTTTTGCGTCCCCATCATATKGTGTCCTATAGTCTGATTTAAAATTCACCAACGGCCTTGTTGTAGTAGTTYACATAATGTGTAAACTGTGGATTTTTAAATTATAAATACTAATTTGACGATTATTCAGTCCGTCTAAAAGTGTTATTTAGATATGTCCCGAATTTACATACTTCGATCAACCACTAAGCCTAAAATCATACTTTACAAAAATGTGTTTACGTCTTTCGTGCAACAAAAGATGAAATCCATTGGTGTCATTCTAATTCATTATTATATCGTGAAACAAAACTATAGGTATTTGAGTATAGTAACACATAGGTACTATACTACATAGTTTTGGGTAAACAAGTGAGTCTGGAACACGCGGGACTTAGGCACTGGCCGCAATATTAAAATGGTTATCAATAAATTGCCTATTATGCGTGGATATTATCATTATAATAATTATATCGCCGACGTTACTGAAATGCTCGTTTTTTTTGTTTTTCCTCAGAATATGAAGACCGCTCCCGTATTGTGCGCGGCAGCTTTCGCGTTGGTGCTGCAGGCCATGTGCGCGACCGCAGCCGGCGGCGAACGCCAGCAGCAGCAACAGTTACCGCTGTTCTTCCAAGCGGGCCGACCGTTCAACGCGCCCGGCGCCCCGTTGCCCAAATTCGTGGGAATCGCGGGCAACCAGCCGCCGCAAGCGTTCCGCACGGTACCGCCGCAAGTGGACGAGGAACAAGAGGACGAGGAACAACGCAACGACGAAGAACCGCACCAGCGCAACGTTCTCGCTCCCACTCCGCTGCCGTTCAGACCGCAACCGACGCCACAGGTACCGCCGCAGTATATTATACACATTATTATTACTCAGGCGCGAATTCAGTTAGTAGTATAGCTGTGTTTTGTTTGAGAAAAATGCCCAGTAAAAAGAATCAAAACTAATTTTAACACGTTGAGAGCCGCGGTCGACGGGTAATAGGTAGTCGACAATTATTGTCAATTTGTATAGGCATCTTTATGGCAATATGGCCTTATAATTTACTCGGTTATCAGAGCAATTCTTCTAAATCAATTTATCAATTGATTACAAAGTTGTATTTGACATAACTGTTTCGTTATTTTTGAACACATACGATGTGCGCATGCGCGCTTGTCTACATAATTTATTTTATTAGATATTTTATTTTGTATGTGAAATATTCACACCCCCCCCCATAATCTCGGACTGGATCCGCCCCTGTTATTACTACCTACCGATTGCTTATGTTCACTTAGTTCTTAGGGYGGGTTTCCACTATACCCCGTGTGCCGTGTACACGTAAAATGTTCAGCTGTGCCCAAMAACACGGTAACGTGGTTAATCGTGTGGTCGCCTTACCTTACCGACCAATCACAGCAAAGGATTTACGCGAACATGTCAATAGTAGAAATCCACCTTTTATAATTACCGTAACTATAGTTAATATTTTGAAATTTACGTCTGTAGATGGTATACCGAAGTCAGCACTTATTGGTGGTGATCAATGCGAGCACGTTATCCGTTTAAGTCAAACAAGATAACGGCCGCCAACAGATTCCTCCAAAACCAAATTTTTCATAATCGTATTATACTGTTATACGAACTCAATGAAATAATCGAAATTTAAAACCAATAACGTTACATCTGATTATGATGAAAGACGGATAACGTTCAAATTTTCAGGAGGAAAATATTGTACTTTTGAATAAAATGTGTGTCATAGCTATGTCAATATTACGTTACGCCGTAATATTATTACCGAGGCATACATTTCGAGATTTTTCAGAYTCTCGGCGATGTGGAATYAAATCAGCCATTACCGAGCGAGCTAGATGATAGGTACATTACGTGTGGTTTAATTATATATGGGTATGGTAACTGAGCGGCGTAGCAGACTAAGCCTATAATATGAAACAGTGGCCTTGCCGTGTCGCCGAAATTCGATAAATCCATTTTTGAGCACGGCGCATTGAACTTAATTACCTCGTCGTTTGTGCTGAAGTGTTCACATAAAATAATTAGCTTAATCTTTCGAATGACGTGTAAAAACTACGCAACAAGGTTACGCTCGTTATCGTTTGTATATRGCAAAATATTATAATATAGCACGTCGAAGCGTCTAACCAAGTCGACCCGAGTCGACCCGAAAATTTCTAAATGATGCACCAGACGTGCAGATTTCGCAACACAATTACTTTTAAAATGTAATGCAATACAAAATTATAGCAATGACGTAAATCGTATGTACACTTCCGATTATCGATTTGCTCAAATCATAAATATGCAACAATAAAATGTTATAACGTATATATTAACCATTGTGTGTTTTTTAATTGCATGACGTTTTCAGTTCAATCAATTCCGCGCTTCTCCGTCGCCGTCTCCGCAGACCTTGCAGCCGATCCGCATTAACAGGCCAACCGAAACTCCGAACAGAAGACCACAGCCTCCTTCGCCATCGCAGTTCAAACCGCTGTCCAGCCAGCCGTTGTCGGTAAGTCGCACACATTTCATATTCAAAGTCAAACGGTACGATGACCACATAGAACTTTTTTTGAAATTAATAAATTTTAATTATTTTTATAATAATAACGATGTTCGGGGTACAATTCATTTGTATAAGCACACGTCTCTGTGTTTACTTTAAAACATTTCATGCCAGCAATTATYCCTTAAATAGGTAATAATATTTTTGATGTGAGTATATCGTATATTATGCGAATTACTTTGATCAACACATAATAGCTGGGTTCAAATCTGCGAATAATATCTACTACATAATGTTAAATGTTTAAAATAATTAAATTTKTATTTTATTTTATTTTTCTCACAGTAATTGTATATTTTTTAAACATAAATATTTACACACTTTGTAATTTTTATGAAATTTTCAAATCAAATAAATCAACTTAAAAATTTTAATTCCCTAGCTAAATTACAACATATAATATAGTAAGATGTTCAAAATTTAAAAACATGAATGATCAGTTTGTCCACGAACCGAGTAAAGACTATGCACATTAAATTAATTACCCGGAAAACCACAATTAAATAATAAATCTTGAATTTTTCAGAAAACATAGGGTAATAAAACAGTGCGGTCAGTTGTTGTTTTGAACAAATTTCTTAAGTGTTATTATTACGGACGTCCTCCGCTAAGGTTTAGGCGAATTCGAACGGCAATCGCGGCGATACCTATTGATTTCAATACCGTTTTTCTTTGTATATAATGTTATTGTATCGTACAAACCGTTCTAGCGTAAAATGAATCGGTGTTTGAATAACTGCCAACATTATGTTCGTAACGAAAATCGACATTCCCGAAAATATGTTTAATGATATAATACTTTTTACGACGCTGTTATTATGTCACTCGAGTCTGATGCATTTTCAGTGGACACCGTGCCTAAATCCGCGTTACAATATATTATATTATAACATCGTCACCAACTGTCTAAATAACAACAACACGAATGATAATAATATATATATAATCGACTGTACAGTACTATASTGTATATAGGATATATCACTAAACAACGTGTTTTTATTTTATTGATTACAATGCAATTCGTTCAGCAATAAATACCATTGTATATGTTTGTATTTAACAATGTGAAATGGCGAAGAGTTAGCATAATATCTAAATACATATATTATTATAACGTGGTAATGATTTTTAAATAACATGATCTTACGCAACACAGTTGACTCCGGTAATTCCACCAAAACTCATTAAAATATATGTACCTACATTATATTAGGTTTATTMAAAAAATATGCTTGATACATTGTAAGCATTTTATAAATCATACATAAAGCTGAATGATAATCTAAATTGTTATGTCCAATATAACCTATMGGTACTCAAACCATCTATTATAACTATTATGCATGAAACATTTTGTTTCCCGGCAAATAAGTAATTTCATGACAAATGACGATCGTGCCTTATAAAGTTGTAAATAATAAGTAATAATAATATTATACAGGAACTATCTTCACTCCCAATAAAATAGGATATTTTATTCATTCTTATGTTTACACGGCGCGAAATATAGGCAATATTGGTTCTTTTACGTGTTGAATATTCAAACATGTATCATTTTATTTTTGTTACTCATTTAATCAGTAACTAATAATAGTAATAATTATAAAAACAAAAATGAAAATTGTTTTTATTAATTTTGAATAATTTATTGATTTTAAAAATAAACTTTATAAGTATCTAGCTTATCACCATAAAATGTAATTAATATTTGTATGAATGTTGCTACAGGAAGAAGCCCAGGAATTAGAAGAAGAAAAAGAAGAAGAACCCGACCGTCTTACCCAATTGTTGCCTCAGTCTAAATTCACTTGCAGTGGTAAAAAAACTGGTTATTACGCTGACGAAGGTCTAGACTGCGAAGTGTTCCATTACTGTCAAGACAGTGCTAGACACTCTTGGGTATGCCCGGAAGGTTTCGTTTTCCACCAGGTGAGTTATACATCTAAAAACATTCTATAGGTACCCAAAGAGTATTTCAATAAAATAACATAATTTATTATTTTCATTGACTTTTACTTAAAACAAATAAAATTAAGGGTGTGATGGTCCGCAGGTACATCTGATATGTATGCCACCGAGCAGTGAGAACATTTGCAAACAGTCGACGCAGTACCATTTCGTCAACGACTTCCTGTACAGGCCGGTGAACACTGAGGAAGCCAACTCCCGACCAAACGTGACCCTCAGGTATGGAGACCGGTACTACCCGGGCAGCAATTTCGAGGCGGCCGAAGAGTACGATCACGAAGAAGAGGAACCATCGCAGAGACAGCCACAGGCACAGTTCAGACAGCAACCGGCGGGGCCCAGACAGCGCATTCAACTGCAGCAACAGCCCCAGCCCACACAACAGCACGTACTGTCCACCCCCCGCCCCGTGCAATTGCTGCAACAGCCACAGCAACAGTTCGCCCGACAACCGTCCCCCAACCAGGTGTTCCACTCATCCGAGGAGATCAACATACCGTTGCAGCAGAGGCGACCAATCGTGTTACAGCCCCAGCGACCCAACTTCCAACAGCAACAGCAACAGCTCCAGCACCAACAGCAACAGCAAAACGACTTTGATTTCAGGAGGAAGTAGATGTGACCGACAGTGATAGATGTTTCGATAGGTACATCACCGAAAAGAAGCATCTGTTTCCATATACATATGTGTATCGTTTACATAATAGATTACGAAAAACAATATTTATAATTTTTTTTGGTAACAATAGAGCGAGTCACCCTCTACTGTACATAATATATAATATTATATTGTTAGATTTAAACCAACGCGAAATCATTTTATATATATTAAGATAGGACTTGTGTAATGATATTATTGACGGAGAGCAATGAATAGGAATCACTATTATCAGCATGCACTTCCAGTTTGCGAATATGACAACACGCAACATATTTTATTTTGAATTCATATTATGATCATATAAATATTATATTACATTGGCCAAATACCAATACTGCACATGACATGTACTTATATCTTCGAACGTCAATACCACTAGGTAGTTCTACGACGTATATAAATCATACGTACGTTATACGTGCCTTCCTATATTGGAAAACACTGCGATAGTATATAAAGTATTTCTATTTTGGTAATGATTTTTGTTATTAAACCAACGACTCCATTCGGTCAACTTATTTTTGAAAGTGCGCTCCGCTATTTGTAGAATTAAATTTGGAAATCGCCATCATTTCTGTACTGCAGTACCTATACAGGCTATACAAACTATACATACAAATACTTTTGAGAAAATTAAATACCTACCTATACTTTTGACTATAAGTTTATTATATTATATTATTATAATATAATATATTTATTTATCATTAATCGATGTTTAAAAAAAAAAATGTTTTCTATTTTTTTACGTGCTCCGCAATTGCCATTATCCAAAAATAATTATGTCTTATCAACTGTTTATTTTTAATTGTTTCATTGTATTTTTTTTTATCATGCTATAGCCTATAGTTGTATTGATATTTTAAAACTATAGTTTATAAAATATTAAATTGTGTTTTATTTAATAATTGATGTTTAAAGTACATATACATATTATAAAAGCTGGACAATTTAATATTTCATTGAAAACCTGTATTAGTCCAGATTCAAACTTTTTAAGTTATTTTCGATTAACTAGAAATATCTGTTGGACTTAATTCTTTTTTAATATCATATTTTAGTATGTGTATACTTAATGTAATTAAATCTAATATTTATAAAATTAATTTAATTTACACAATCTTTTAAATTGCTTCATGCTGCCAATATCGCTTTTATAATACAAATGTAATCATTTAAATTATATTATAATTGTGTTTTATAATTTTATTAAATATTATGTTAACGTGAATAAAACGTTTGTGATTTAAAGAAGAAAATTGTATAGTATWGTACAAATATTAAATTCYATATTTTTCACAACCTTCTTGCGCATAATATAGGAAAAAWTTGTATACCTTATTCACTATAACACTAACGCAATACTTAAGAGTAATACCTTCCTATTTTATTCGTTTTAATTCCTATAGTCTATACATTCACATAATCTCAGCCAGTGATATTATGTACCGATATATATCATTTAATTTCTAAGTGATATTTCAGCGATATTATAATTATGATATAGGTACAAATAATATGCAGCAATGCATAGTAACACTTCGATTAATACTATAAAAAAACGCCTWTTTAACGCAATTATGCCCCTCAAAAAATGATAAACATTATTTGTATAATAGGCATGCAACCGATAAACACGATACCCAACTAGTTAAACGTTCAGCATTTTTTTTAACTTAACTAAACTAACAATGATACAAAAACTAAATACCAAACTTAGTCACGTAATATAACTGWACAGAATACTGGAAATATATGTGATCGCGATGTATCTCCGTAATATTGATCAATTCGTTGTTATTAATTTTAGCATCGATAGTAAAATACCACATCCGATAATTGCTAGAAATAGATTAAGACGCTATATATAATATATCGCGTTCATATTTTGAAATACGAGTATATAGAACTAGAGAGCCTTATATACATATATATATATATATATATATATATATATA